TTCGTTACAACCGATCAAAGGATAACAGAAACAGATTTGTGACTGACCTTGGCAAAAATGGTTAGCTGAGGAATGTGTGAGAGTTTCCAATGAATGGGACATGGTTTAGACTTGATATTGAATTGGAAGATGAGGAAATTTAATGTCACAGTGGAGGGAACTGTGGCATTTGACAACTATCTGCAAAAGGTAGCTCACTTTCTGCATATGTGAATAAAACAGAATACTGATTAGAACTGCCACTGAAAAAGAAAAGATTCAGAGAAATGAAGACAGGTGAACTGCTTCTCAGCACAAGTGTAGAAGGAGCTGGAGAAATGTATGTGGTAGCAGGTAGGGAAGAAAGAAAAAGAAGTATCTAAAGGAAAATGTAAAGTGATACAACTTCTTCAAATGCTAATCAAGGCCCTAGGGATTCTGCATTTATACTTGCACATATGAATGTAATGGCTATTTAGTATTTTAGATTAAACCAAATCTTCAAATAAAAATGAAAAAAAAGAAACAAACCAGTTCAAAAATTCTACTTTTTTTTTAATCGGTAGAGCGGGGTTTGTTTGTTTGTTTGTTTGTTTTGTGTGTGTCCTCATTCCTACAACAAGATAGGATATGGGAGGAAAGGAAGGAATAAAGCAATCCCACAGTAATTTTTTTCCTTGAGTATTCTGCTTGCTGCAGCTTAGTTCTTAAGTTCCTCATTAAACGTTTCTGGTAACAAATGGTAAGACAAGTCAAATACCTATCAGGAAGACTGCTGGAAACATCTTCGTTTGTGGTAGGAAGAAAGGTCAAGAAGGAGCCTAAGGGGAGGCTGACAGAAAGTGAGGTAAAAAGTAAATCTAAGTATTATACGTACTGGGGCTTGTTAGACATGTGCTGTTTTGAGGGAGAGAACATCAACTTCTCAAGAAGATTTTACAAGTTTCTTGCTCAGTAAAACGATTTCTGTGCCACCTGTAAAGTTTGAGGGGGTGGGATGCAGCACAGAGCATAGAAGCTATAAAGCAAGTAATGTCAAAACAGCTCTAGTAACAAAGTCTTTGTTTGAATAAGGAACTGTAATGGGGATGGTTGTTATTTTTTTCTGTAATAAATAAACTTTGTCTCTATGTTAAGATGTATTGGTGTTACCTATCTCCCTTGCCTGCATTAGAGAATGTGAGTAAAGATTTGAGAAAAAAAAGGGTTCTTTTAAAATTTCTATTTAAGAATTACACAATAAATATCTGTTTGTTCACCTGTTCAAAATATTTGCTAATCATAGTTTTAAGTCACAAACTTAAGATATGCAAATCCTTTTTTTTTATTCCACAGCAGCCACGTACTTAGCTTTTTGCTTGCTATTACAAGTAGAAAAGTTACAGTGCAATTATAGCTTCTTCTGGCATCAGCTGGCATTCACCTGTGCATCAGCTGAGAGACAGTATTTCTCACTCTGCCAAAAAGTCACTGTCCTTTTTGAATGAGAAGGAAGTGTCATGCGGATGGATTCTCTGGGGAAAAAACAAAGCGCATGGCAGCACGAAGTGAGTGTTTTTGAAAGAGAGCAATCTTACTTCAGTTCTTTCTATGCTTTATCAATATGTAGGTTTGTGACAAAGGAATATGTAATTTACTACTTATAATTAGTTAAATAAAAACTGTTGGAAAACTCCAGACTTGACCTTTGCTCAAGTAGCAAGGCTGTTGCACCAGGAAGCAGATACAGAACTAAAATATTTCTAGCCTTTTTTTTTTTTTTTTTCAGTAGGAGGATTAATTTTTTCAGTTAAGTGTAATGAAAAATGTGCTGTTTCTGTACAGCCAATTATTTGTTAGAATATTTGTTTTCAATACCTGATTTATATTTGTAAACATTAGTTTCATGAGTGATAATCAGAGGAACAGAGAAGTACCTTGTAAATTACAATAATCTGCAAAGGTATGTACATGCTAGCAATGGCTTTTATGCTACATCATTGTACAGCTTACATCATTGTACAGCTTCTCACAATATGTAGACATGAATGTATTAAGCAGAAAGAAGGTCATGTAGTGACAGGATCTATGTTCCATAGAAGTAAAAAGCAAAATTCCATAGATTTCAGTGGAACCAGAAGCAGATTTGGAGGCAGAAGATAAAAGGTATAGAGAATGATCAGTAAATCTGGGAAACGTTATGTAGCAGAGTGTAAGATACATGCATATCTGTATTTGGCAAGTGAGGCAGCAGTTAAGTTACCGAAAAGTGACAAAGCCAATTAAGGAAAAAGAAATCAGGTTTCTAGAAAAGGCTGTCTTACTCCTCTTCTAATAAGAACTGAAGTAGTACTGCCTCCTTACACAAGCATACACTATTTTCAGCTCTTGGAGAAAAGCCATTATATGACAGGATGTTATACTGAGGAGCTGAATGTCAGGGGAGAGAATCAGAGCACCCCACACCTGAAGAGACCTATGGCTAAGGGAGCTAAGCCATGGGGTGCAGGATAAGGCAGAACACTGAGATGCAGTACTTGTCCCTACCCATAAATCATTTATAGATCAGAGAAGCAGAGAAGTCATTTCAGTAATTTCAGCAGGTTTTAGAGGAGGTCACCTTTTGTAACTCAGCCCTATTTACTCCAAATATAATTTAATTCAGGTCAAGGAGCTGGGTAATACTATTACTAGTGATTTGCCATATCACTCTTTTGATGTCCATGCTGCTATTGCTTCAGCCAGGAAGATCAATAATGCTCACAGAGAATGAAAATGTCTCTAAATCCTACATTTATCTTCTTCTCCTACTAAATACTCACCACCAATCTTATCTGAAAAATTACCTGTATCACGACGTTGGTTTTTTGTTTTTTGTTTTAATTTTTTTAAAATTTTTAATTTATTCAGAAAGCAGCTAAATCTACAGCAGTTGTACCAGCACACTTCTATGGCCTCCAGCTTCAAGATTTGTTTATATTAGACAGAATAACCATTCAGATGTTTTTCATTTTTAATGCAACTCTTTTATTACTTGTAATGAGCACCCATAGTAATTACATTAGGATAGATGGGAAACAAATGTCCGAGTTAACCATAAAAAAGGATTATTTGCAGTAGTTAGGTGAGAGCTTATTCTTGTGTGTTTGTTAAGTTCCTGATACACTCGGATGCTTTTGCAATCAATAATAAAACACTGCAATCTGCAAACACAAAGACTGCTCTTCTCTAAGTTTGGCCCTTCTTTATTTGTAATTGAAATGACATCTGCTGAAATGCATCGAGTTTGTTTGTTAATAGAAGAGCTTCTAAATGAGGTTTCTGATGCTAATGCAATGAGTGGAAATTGGAAAGGGAAAAGAGGTGTAGGAAAGGATGTATGAGTGATGTAAAGAACAATTTGCTACCTAGCTTAAGGCTGGAATGATTGTATAAGCACCAACAGAAAGGCTGGCTGGAAGAAGCTGGTTTTAGGCTATACCTGTTAGTGTATAGACCAGGGAAAAGTGCTGAGAAAATTGAATTTTGGGAACAGAGCCTGCCTAATGAGCATTTCTCCTCCAGAACAAGCCTTAGAAAGTCAGTGTGGGAACCTTTTTAAGTACATTGGTCTCAAGAGGAAAATGCACCAATGACTGGTGGCAGGGACCTTTCACACTGGGCTAATGAAGAGAATCTTAATTCTTTGCTGTGAAGGTATTATCACAAAAGATTTTCGTAGCAATTTGGAGGATAGAATTCCGCAATAAGGAATTGGAAACTTTTCTCCACTAATTAACGCTTAAGTATTTTTTCAAATACAACACAAAGTATGTTTGCTATTGTTGAGAACATTCATATCACTAAGAGCCACCTGGTGATGAACTCTTTCGTCTTGATTGTTTCTTAGCACACCAACAACCTAATACCTAATAGATGGCTTTCGCTAGGCTTCTCTTAGTACTGTTTTATATTTCCCTGGCACAAGCACCAAGGGCAAGGAACACCCCTTCAGCAACAAAGCTGATTTTGCAGCTCTCTCCCAGGCAATGCTGTCTCTTCGTGAAACACCTATCACTACAGCGAGAGAGATGCGTATCTGGAAATATTCTCTGCAATTACTGCCCACACCTTCCTGATAATTCATGGTGTGACTGGTGAAAAACAAACTCTTGATACTAAATATATTGTCATATGGTACTGGGTAAGGAGTACTAGGCAATGTGAAAAAGGCTGTAAGACAAATCAATGCAGTTTTCCATCTATGCTCTCCACTGTTCTCTACATTTGAACAACAGTGGCATTTTCTTGAGCATTGTTGCAGCCATTTAACTGAAGTGCATTTTCATAGACCATGCAGCCCCACTTACGTAAGCTACCAGCCAGCTGGACTGCTTTCTGAGCAGACAGATGGGATTTTGCAAAGTTTGAGTGGTTTTGGTGCTAAACAACTCCCTGGGCCAGCTATCCCCAGGAGACTCTTGCGTTTCGGTGAGCTTCTTATCCAAAAGCTTGGAAAATGTTATTGCTGCCACATGAGAGTCAGGCAGCTGAATGCCAAGAGTGGATAAACTGCCCACATTGCCTATCCATTATCCATGCTGGGCTTCAGCCATCAGCAACGGGACCAACCGAGGCAGCAGCAGATGAGGCCGGACCAGCGCCGTAAGCTCTTTTATTTCTCTGTCAGCCTGATACGGATGCGCCAGGAGGCTGAGCGGGCGCTTCAGCTCCTACCCGGGGCACCCGGAGCCTTTGGGGCAGACGGGACCAGCGCCTGCTTCGGAGCAGCCCCGCTCAGGGGAGCAGCGCGTGGAGCAGCCGGGGCGGGGGCGGCCGCGAGCTGCGCGCTGACTGGTTGCCGCGCCTCCCCCCGCCCCGGGGCGCTGGCCGCGGCGGAGCCTGCAGGCGGCGCCTCCGCCTCAAAGTTTGCCCCCGCGGGCAGCGCCCGTCTCTGCGCGCTTCTCCGGGCGCCCGGGCGGAGCGGTGGGGGGCGGTGATGGCGGGGCGCGACCGGGTGCGCTGAGGAACGAGCGGACGGAGAGCGAGGGGAGGAGGGCACCATGCGCTCTCTGAACATCACCCCGGAGCAGTTCGCGCAGCTCCTGCGGGACAACAACGTTACGCGGGAGCAGTTCATCGCCCTGTACGGGCTGCAGCCGCTGGTGTACGTCCCGGAGCTGCCTGGCCGCACTAAGGTGGCCTTCGTCCTTATCTGCGCGCTCATCTTCGCCCTGGCGCTTTTCGGCAACTGCTTGGTGCTCTACGTGGTGACCCGCAGCAGGGCCATGAGGACCGTCACCAACATCTTCATCTGCTCCCTGGCGCTCAGTGACCTCCTCATCGCCTTCTTCTGCGTCCCCTTCACCATGCTGCAGAACATCTCCTCCGAGTGGCTGGGCGGTGCGTGCCGGGCGGGTGCGGCGGTCCCCTCGGGTTGGATGCCGGCCGGCTGAGAAGCTCCCTGGGGCGGACAGCGGTCTGCCGCTCCCGAGCCCTGGGCGGTGTGCTGCTCGAAACCCTGGGCACGCTCAGGGTGGAGGGGGTTGCGCTCCACAACTTGCGCTGCTGGTCGTGTTCGGGTGCTTGCACGCTTTGCGCGGTCGGGGTTTGATCTGTGAGCGCTGAATGCGGTAACTTCAGACTAATGCACATTAAGTGGAGTTAAGTAATGGCTACGCCGTTCCCTCGGGTTATGTTAAAAGCGCTGCGCTTTCATGCTGGTGTTCGTTAAAAGTTGTGGTGGTTTGTAAGTTCGTGGAGTAGTCTTGCAGTGGTGTTGTTTTTTCTTTCTTCGAAACCTGAAGTTAGAACTCTTTAACCCTTGATGGGGAAAAGGAGCATCTCAGAGAGCACAGGCAGAATTTACCTTTGTAGTAACATGCTGTTTCAAGATATGACTTTTTCTTGGGAATTTTGTTATCTGGAGCACGAGTCTTACATGGGACGGCTGAAGGAGCTTGGGGTTGTTCAGTCGGGAGAAGAGAAGGCTCAGGGCAGACCTCAGGCTCTCTGCAACTGCCTGAAAAGAGGTTGTGGTGAGATGGGGTCTGCTTCTGCCCCCAGGTAACAGTGCACCAGGGGAGCTTCAGGTTGGTGATTAGGAAGCATTTATTCTCAGAAAGGGAGGTGATGCACTGCTACAGGCTGCTCAGGGAGGTGGTGGAATCACCATCCTTGGAGTTGTTCAAGAAACATGTAGGTATGGCACCGAGGGTCATGAGCAGTGGGCATGGTGGGATGGGTTAGAGGTTGGACTGCATGATCTCAGTGGTCTTTTCTGACATAAATGATTCTGTGTTGTGTTGCCATTAGTCTGAAAGACTTGTGTGTAAGGCCTCTGATACCTAGCAAGCACTTTAAAATGCATCCCAGGTCCAAAGAAGTATAGTGACGAAAAGGCAGGTGATGTAATGTTAGTTAAAGGGCATTTACCTTCCTTTTCTTGCTCCTAAAATGCGGTGTTGAATAAATAAAATAAAAGGGATGGTTTTGCAACAAGGAGCAGGTAAGGTCTTTGTACAACAGCAGATTGAACTGTTTCTTAAAAAAAAAAAAAAAAAAAGGGTGTCCATAAAGTGACTCCATTAATTTCAGTTCCCGAGGCTTGCTGTGCTGCTGGGAGGTACTGAACTGAGGCTATCTTCAGAGCATTAAGATTTAATTTCAGTACATTTGATGGATGAGAATGCAGGATAGGAATTGGCAGATCAGAGGAGACTTGAAAAGCAGAGATTTGAAACATGGATACCTAACACAGTGAGAAGTAGGTTTGATTTTTTTTTTTTCTTTTTTTTTTTCTTTTTTTTTGTCTCAAAATCAAGAAGTTCCTAGGAAAAGTGATAAATATGAAACTACAGGAGCAAATAATAAGTTAAATGAGAAAAACTGTTTTTGCAGCTGTTTTATTTTCTTACAAGATGACTTTGGGGAAGGAAGTATTGTTTTTAAGATGGTGCACCTTAATATTGATATTGAGCCCCCAGATTAATATGGGTATGTCATAAAAATAATAGGGAAACTGTTAGTTATACAACTGTTCCTTCTTTTGTACTACTACTTCTCCTTGCTCAGAGAAGAATACAGCAGTAAGAAACACCAAGAGATCCCACACAAAAGGGAAAGGACTGAACTGATGTACCTTCCCCTAAATGTTAGAGTCGTGAATCTTCTCTCTTGATGGGGAGAATACCTATCTGTCAGTTTGAGACTGAACATCTGATCAGAGGCATCTGAAAGCTTGGTGGCATGAAGCTTCTGCCCGAGGTGGAATTGCAGCAGACATGCCAAAGATGTGCTTTATCCCAATTGTTCTGCATACACATCTTTGTTTATCTTATTGAGGATGCTTGACAAAATCTAGAAGTCAGTATACAATCACAGCATAGTTGAAACATGTATCTTCACTATTTGGATATTTTGAGGTATACTGTTGTATGAGTTTTACTGTATTTTTTGTTTACGCTCTGATGTCTTAGAGCTTCTTTACTACAAGTGGGATTCATAGTTCCTATGATTTTGATGTTGACATTAATTGTCCTGTTAGGATAATTGGATTTAACTAACATTATAATGTTGGAAGTGCATAATAAGTAACATAATTGATGAATGTTTGCCTTGGCTGGGAATGGAAGAGAAGGAAGGGAAACAAATGAAATGTAAAATGATGGTACCCCGGGGTATCTGGTTCCTGAGGATCATACTGTAAAGCATGAATGGTTATTACATTTATGTATTATCTGAGGCTGCCAGACTGGGAGGGCTTTTCCTTGCTAGTTTTATTGGTTCAGTTTTCCTTTTGCCTTCCATTTTCTAGCCTGAGAAAGTTTAGTTCATCCATCTTAATGCAACATGTCTGTTCTGGGTTGTTCTAACTCCCATCTACTGAGAAAAAGGTGACTTGACTATGTAGTATATTTCTGCTGGGAGAAGTACTTTGTCCTGAAGTGCTTGATACTAGAAATATCATTGAGTTTCTGGACATCTGATCTCTTCCCTTCTTGATCTAGCTGCATTTGAATCACTAAAATGAGCACTAGGTATACTAGGTATACTGAGATACAAGTATGTTTTGTACTGACCTTTGTGTTGGAGTTATTTATTTCCATTTTTGTATATATGTGTTTTATTTATCTTCTTTCCCCCCACAAAAATCAAGAGGAAGAGGTGAGGGCAGAACTGCAGTCACTCCAGGCTGTAGATACAGAAGTACAAATGTAATAACAGCCACGGCTTTAATGTAGCCATTAACATTTTAGCCATTCAGTGTTATCTCTATGATTGGATGCTATCAGGAAAGAATCGTTCCTGTTTTGTTTCTTCTGAAGTGAAGGGTGAAGTACTTCCATTGAAAAAGCCTCCAGGTGTGCACAGTTTAAAGTAGGACCTCAAGGAAAATGTTCATAATTGACAATGTAAAATAATTCAAATTGTCAATGGTAGAGTCACTCCTTTGTAATAGGTAGCATTCCATTGTTACAAATCTGAAAGGCACTGGCATGACTTTTTCCACAATACATTCTTCAACAATTTCTAACTTCACCTACAATTCAGCAATTGAAATCTCAAGAAACTGAGTGTGTAGTGCTTTGCCTGATTATTATGTAGTTCTAACACATATGCAGCAACTGGGAGGAGCGCCATCTTAACCAAAAATGGGTGAATCTGTCTTGCTTTTGATTCTTAGATCTGTTAAGAATCTATTCGACTGCATGAGACTGTGGAAGTGACAGTGTAACCTATTTCTTGTTTATAATTTGCGACTGAAAAGGCTGTAACATTCTAGAAGACCTTTAAGTAGAAATTCTGCAATCTCTCAGTAATATGAAAGAAAACTAAAATTGCAGCTTTGGTGTAAGTGATCACTGATAATATATTTAGTTGTAAGAAGGGGATGTAACTGGGGCTTGACTAAAAGATGAATTGATGCATACAGCAAGGAGTGGTTTTGGCAAAGAGTGGCACAGTTGAGGATTTGCTTTCTTCTGGTCGTAGGTGGGAGATAGCAGTGGGGTCTTGTGGTCACGCTGATGGCCAGCACTATGAAGGGTAAATCTGTGCTTTTATCTGCTGGCCAAATTTTACAGGATTTGTTTTATTTTCCAAAAACTGGTAGTTAGCTGTCAGCTAACTGGATGCTGGTGTTAGCTAACACCAGCATCTTTGCTGAACTGGAGAACTACTGTTTTATTTTGTGCAACACAATACCCCTAGTAAAAGATAAGGCAAACAAACAAACAAACAAAAAAAAAACCCAAAACCAAACAAACAAAAAAAACAGGTTACCGGAGACCTAGTATTATGCTTTGTCTTTCTTTTTGATCTTGTGGATTTTGATCTTATCAGATATGCAGAAGGCATCAGAATGCATCTTACGGCTGGTGTCAGAAGCTGTTTTTTTCTCATCGTCTAGGGAGTGCTGGGTCACCTAAAGCACTACTGAATGCACAGTGGCATTTGGGATGGCTGTGCTGAGTTGCATCCAAGCTGCTGGCCGCATGCAGCCCAATGCAGCTTACAGTGCAGCAGCTCCCTGCCACGTGGTAGCTCTGCCCCACTGTGTGACCCAGCCCAGCCCCTCAGCACCAAACGCCATCTGGGCTGAAACCAGAGTGCAATTAATTGCTAATTCAAGTTGTGGCAGGTAAGTTTATGGAGTTTGATACATTGGCTGAACAGAGTCCTGTGAACAGCAAAACATATGCAGCCATGCTTTCTATTTTGATAAAGGAATCTGAAAGTAAGTTTCAGGATTAGCAAAAAATTGCTGTCTTTACACCGCGTATATGCTACTCCATTTTCAGTTGACATTAATAGATTACATGAGAATTTTCAAATGGAATGTATAGAGTTGCAACTCAGAATTTGATTATGTCTCTTTACCAGTCTTTTATAAGCCCTACATTTCCGGACAGAAATATCCATCAGTATACAGTCACATTTTATTCACTACACCACCTTTTGGCAGTATGACTATTTGTGAGCAACAGTTTTTAAGGTTGCAGCACAGGAATAGTAAAATTTCAGCAAAGATCTTTACTGAACAGCTTGAGAACTCATTGAGAATTGCAACCACTGCAGTTGAACTAGCCTGGTATGTTTGTTTCAGAAAAGCAAGGTCACATATTCCACTAGTTTTATGTTTTAATTGCACTTTTTTTTTTTTTAATTAAAAAACAACATTTAAAGACTAGTTTTTGTTACTTGTATACATAAACTATGTAGTATATTTTATGAGGGATGTTCTGAAAGTAATGCTTCCTATTTTATTATGTTGGCCCATGATATCAGAGGCAGATGTTGGAGGTATGGCAGTAGAGATTGAACCTTCCCAACATTATTATTCCATCAAGTTTTGTTGTCGTGCAACAGATGGCAGCAGAGAGGCAGTCTGACAGAATGGT